TATATATATTGGCTAAATAGACTCAGTAACTAGACTAGACTATACTAATAGATTAATTTTAGACGAATTCGTAGTGATACCGCGATGAAATATCATTATACGACAAAGTGCGACAGTTGGTATAGTCGTACGTAATGACGCACTGGCAATGATAATTACGCACCTGACGGTATTATTTAGAGAAAAGAGGTTTTTGTTTCGCCATATAGACGTAGATTTAAGTGTCGTGCTTGCTATAGCGTCACGAATACTTACTCGAACGAGACTCCTAATAATTCTTCACTTTATTCCTCAGCATCCGTTGATCATCGGCGAGAGAGTGGCTGTCGTTTTGCCCGTCACGCTTGGGCGCTTACTTATATACCGCAAGAAATATCAATACTCAAATATTGACACGATTTAAACTGTGCACTTAATTGCCATTGGATTCGCCGCTCGTCGTCATCGTATCATTAATAATGACTGCATTCGCTTTCCGCATGGATGACGTAGGCGCTGATATTAGCGACTAGCTACCGTATACAAGTTATATACGACCGTGAGTGATCACAAACGCCCGGGCGCTTGTGCATCGTTAATCTATGCTGCGTGCGTGCGTGCGTGCGTGCGTGCGTGCGTGCGTGCGTAATGGCACTCGATATTCCGCAGTTATTTATATCGTATTTCCCATCGTCGCGGCCCGAATCAACAGGTGTGCATATACGACGTACGGCCTTTCGTCGCTTCAGCTGCGTCGCTTACGCCGTTAATTGGCGTTTACACATGCTCGACCGTATGTACGACACTTCTCCGCCCGCAAACAGCGAGAGTGCATGTTTGCAAGGCGATAAACACTTTCGGAACATTAGTAAGTGAATTATGTATGTAGCAGAACAAACGCGCAGGAGCGGCGACTCCACGCGCGCTCTCTCCTCTCTTCACTCGCTCACTGCCCGTGGGATTACTTCTCGGGAACGTAATCCAACCAGCCTCGCTTGTCTCACACCCACACCATCGCATCTCTCACACCCACACCATCGCATCTCTCACACCCACACCATCGCTTGTCTCACACCCACACCATCGCATCTCTCACACGAAACGAACGCGCACGCACGCATGCACGCACGCACGCACGCAAACTCTAGCCTATCCATCGAATAGAGATGAAGAGTGGAAGAGAGGGATTAACAGACAGAAAGAGCGCGCACGCACGCACGCATGCACGCACGCACGCACGCACGCACGCACGCACGCACGCACGCACGCACGCACG